CACACACACACACACACACGAACAGCTGACGGCAGTGAACATCAACAACGCGTGGCCGTTCGCGTCATATGGCCCGCCGCCGCTGATTGGCCAGCGCGACTCACCAGACATGACCGCGCTTGTTTTCTGCAGAGGAAGAGCGCATGTGGCAGTGTAGTGCTGTGGAGTGAAAGAGACTGCAGCGTTCCGCGAAGAGATGATGTGACCAAACAACACATCTGAAAGTGTCTTTTGTTAGCTTAGCGTTTTGCAAAATAGTTTTGAAAAGCACAGACGCGCTGCGGTTAAGACGAGGACACTGCAGGATCAAGGTGGGTTTTCATGGCTGTACTTCCACTGACAACTCGCTGAGAACAGTACTTGTGTTTTGCTGGGCTATAAGTATTTGTAGCGTAATACCTTGACTCTAGGCATTATTATAACGACTTTTTTCCATATTAACAATAACGTTTTCGGTTCTCGCAGTGCCAAATGCCAAGACTAGAGGAACACTGTTGGAGCTGCTCCTGTTCAACCACTGTAAAGACGAAGGAGCTGTCAAGCGCCAGCTGGATTGTTTGTAAAACGGGTGAAATGATGTCCATCATAACCTCAGTGCTGAGCCAATCATACGGCTCTCTGCACAGCCTCCAGTCCGCTAATTTAATTCGACGGGGGCTTGTATTGTTTATCGTCGGAGTAGTTCTCGCCTTGGTGTTAAACTTACTCCAGATCCAGAGAAACGTTACATTGTTCCCAGAGGAAGTGCTGGACACGCTGTTTTCGTCCGCCTGGTGGATTCCCCTCTGCTGTGGCACTGCTGCTGGTAAGTCAGTAACAGTCGGGCTTATATCACATTGTTTCGTTTGTGTCGGCAGGACAAAAACCTTCTGCTTGCTGTGGGCCTTTTGTTATCGAATTTTCATTACTCTTACTGGTGATTTGAGGGCAATTTTGTTGACATTGGGTTCTGTCGCTATCGGCTAGTACTGGCCTGGAAACAGCCGGGCATTCGGGGTCATCCTTTGGGGTGCTGCTTTTTCATTGGCTGCGCTCAGAACGGGTGAGCTGCGAGGAGGCACGCCATTGGCTGCTGTGCCGAACATGCCACTTAGCCGAAAAGAGAAACACGGAAGTCGTGTGCAGCAGAAATTGATATAAATTCGGTCACATACAACTCCTCCGCCTGCATTCATCACAGTCCACACATACCAGTCTACTTCTTTTTCAGTAGAAAATACCTTTTTGTGTACTTTGATTTTTTTTGTTATAAAAAGCAGTCAAACAAACGATACAAATTAGATTCAGACATCAAATGTGATTTTATTTTTTTCTCACGTTTTTGAAAAGTTGTTTAAAGCACTTATGTTTTCTTTTTCCTCAGCTGTGGTTGGTCTCTTGTACCCCTGCTTGGACCACCATCTTGGAGAACCGCACAAGTTTAAGCGGGAGTGGGCAAGTGTGATGCGCTGCATTGCTGTTTTTGTGGGCATCAATCACGCCAGTGCTGTATCCTTACCAGTCACTCATTAAACTGCAGCCATTGTGGACCATGACAACTTTAAAACTGTTTTTAGATTTGTGTTGTTTTAAGGCTGGAATACACCACACAACCTTTCTGAATAGTTTTCAAAAACATTAGGCATCATATACTTGCTGACTTTGTAAATGGTTATAGAGAAAAACTAGGCATCATACAGTAAACAACTGAGGATGTTGTTCCAAACTCATGCATAAAACTGCACATAATTGCTAGGAGATGCTTGATAGATGAAAAAAAATACACTCTAACATTTGTATTAAAAACATAAAAGAAAAAGAAAATCTGAGTCCCATCATACAATAGTTTTAACTCTGCTCAGAATCTAAAGACTGTTTCGCTGACAAATGTTGACTCATCCAGACTGCATTTTGGGGCAAAAATATGGACTAAAGCAGGGCTGTCCAAACTCGGTCCTGGAGGGCCGGTGTCCTGCAGAGTTTAGCTCCAACTTGCCTCAACACACCTGACTGGAAGTTTCTATGCCTAGTAAGAGCTTGATTAGCTGCTTCAGGTGTGTTTAATTAGGGTTGGAGCTAAACTCTGCAGGACACCGGCCCACCAGGACCGAGTTTGGACAGCCCTGGGCTAAAGTCATGTGGTGTATTCCAGCCTTTAGTCAAAAATATATATTATTACTGGAATTACACAGAGACAGATTTCCTCAAACACCAGTAAGCCCTTCAGTTATTATCACACATGAATTCTGAAAACGTTTTTTAACATTTATCTAAAGAAAGTTCTAACCTAGAACTAACTCGTATTTCCCTTAAGTCAAAGTACCTCACAGAAACTGGACTTTGCCAATAATGTGCAGCTTTCACTAACTCTGGCTGCCCTGTCTCTGGGCCTCTGGTGGACGTTTGACCGTTCCAGGAGTGGCTTTGGTCTAGGGCTGACCACTGCTTTTTTAGCCACACTCATTGCTCAGCTGCTGGTCTACAATGGCATCTACCAGTAAGTTGTGACTCACGCATATTGAGACATTGCAGTCGAAAACAGCTTGTCATTTATCATCAATTACCAAGTGACAGCTGAGTCACAGGTTCACTTCTGTATTTATATTACATGCTCAGTCATCAGATAAGAGATTTTTGTAAATGTCTGAATGTCATTTTTCCCTCATAGCTAAGATTTAACAGTAGTTGGATGTCATTAGCAAGTTGTTTCAGTGCATTTCTTTTAATGTTTCTCAGGTATACGTCTCCAGACTTCTTGTATGTACGTTCGTGGCTGCCTTGTATATTCTTTTCTGGTGGAGTGACAGTAGGAAACATCGGCCGACAGCTAGCTATGGTAAGCAACTTTTCCCCATGTTTTCTGCTCACCAAACCCTTTTTCTGTCTTTCATATTCCATGGAATCATTTAAGTACAGTAACGCTGTTAGATTACTCATGTATTGTCTTTAGTTTCCTGGAGTGCTCTGCACTAGGCCGGCCAGGTGGCACTTTTGTGTTCAGAAACGAAACTTAAATGGGGCACACTTACAGAAGCAAAAGTGAACCTGAATATCCTTGAATGGTTCATCAGCTATTATTCACAACACTCTGTGTTAAAGTTTTGCTCTTCTCATAACCAGCCTTAATCTTTTAGGAAACGAATCAGACTTGGAGCCAGATTTTGAGTGTGTACAATTTAACATACAACTTTAAGCACTATTCAGACAAGATTCGTTTTGTAAACAACATTTGAGATATAGCCGTTAATGTCTGTGATTTCATAAACTGATTTAGACGTGGTTGGGATTCAAGTGATATTCAAGTTTTTAACATTATGAAACGGCAACAATGACAAATTTAGCTTTAGTTTTTGTATTTGATGAAGGACAGAACTTTATCCAGATTGGACCATAAGTTAGCTGAAAAGTGGTAGACGGTTTGCCTGGTAACTTTTATAGATGTGTGGAAATATTGATGACTTTGTGTAAAACTAGGGATCTAGACTGTACTTTTTGCATTTTCTTACAACACACTTAAATTTGACTAGAAATGTGTGAAAATATTGCTTTTCTATCAAGTGCATTCCTTTATAGGGATCCGTTTGTTAACAGTTTCCAGTGCTGTGTTGATTTCCTCACTATCTTGCGTCTGGGCTGAAACATCATGCCTGGACATCTTAATTAGCTGCTGATTGTAGTCTGAGGCATGTTTGTGCCATCCCCTCCAAGCCTTCTCAGTCAGCTGTGCCTCTTTGTCTTGCTGACATAACCTCCTTCTTTCTCAATAAGGGCGTGAAAGCAGATTACGCTCCTTGTTTTTCATGCTAATGGTCAGAGAGATGGTAAACAAAGTGCTTTACTGGCTCCAAGTGGTGCGTTCTACATGTTGTTCCAGGGTGTTTTTTGTTTTCGAGTTGGCACCAGCTGATTTTGCTTGACCAACTGGGGTTAGTGCTCTGCTAGTATTTCTTTCAACTTTCTTTATGAAGTGGCCAGTTAAGAGGTGCAATGGATTTGCAAACTAGATTTATCTGTATATACTGAACAGAGACCATTGATGTGTGAATTTCTATTTTGTAGTCTTCAGATCACTATATCTTTTAAATATAACTCTTTAAAATTAAAATTCTGCATCTAATAGTACTAACACTAGTCAAACAATTGCAAAGACAGTATTCGGATTGCCATTTAAACAGTTTACACTATTCACTGTTTGGTTTTGGAGGATTAAATGTTTGCTCTTTTTGGAGACTGGCCAGCTGCCCATGGGTGAGGCATGTGAGACAGTCTTGGCCTATGAGGGGCTATCATATTTTACAGGGCGCCACATCCACACAAGCCCCGTATAATCTGTGCATATACAAGGCTTGTGTCATATAGTGCATACTAATTATAGCCACAATGTTGAGGGGCCAAGTGGGCTTTAACAGGACCAGCTTTGGCTTTGTGACAAAACCAATTTTGAATTGCTCAAAGCACCATTTTAAATGCAAACCTGGGGTGCTGGAACATATTTAAGTAGTTAGAAAGTAAGCGTGAAAGAGTGCTCTGACTTCCAATTCTTAGTCAGTTGCTGCATATTAATATTTATTTTTAGGCGTTTTGCACAGTGGTACAGTTTATTGCCTGTTCCTATATTCTGAGGTAATTAGGAGGTGAATGCAAATCAAGTGGTTTCCTTTTTTTTTTTCCATCAATTTGGTTATGCTAGATGTGCAAACACTGCATTTACTTAATAACGGACTTGTTTCTTGTTTCTCTACAGGGCTCAACGGAGAAGCCTCATAATGACTAAGTGGGTGTCAGAGGTCATGAAGTGAGCTACAAAGAGTGCCAAAACAGAGGGCCTTCAAACTATATTGGGTGTTCCTGGTTTCTGTCCGAGCATAACTTCTGCTCCTAATTTTGCTCCACTTTATAACGATACAAGAAAACAAAGAGCAAGTTGGTTTGAATTGGCCTGGTGTGCCATGAACAGCACCTTTGAACAGCCAAAAGAATCCCCCTGGCATTCATTACTACCATCAGCATTGTCGTTGTTACATCTCCTTGCATTAGAGTTACTGGTAACGTCAGTCTCCTTATTACCAGTTTGCTGGAGTGCCACTATTGGACAATTGGACTGTACAAAATCATAGCTAATTTCACTTTCAGTGAAGGTGAGCGAGTGAAAAGTAGTGGTGAAACTTTGTGTATGCAAATGAGTGTGTGTGCTGGTCCTATGGATAAGGCCAGGCAAAAAAAAAGTTGGTGTTGAAGTGCACACTTTTACTTTGCGTTGGAGAACTGAAAGCGAAATCAAAGGGAAAAAAATTAAGACTGTGCAAAATACCTAAAATATCCAAAGAGGTCTGTGTACTGTCTATATAGGATGTGTTGTAGTTTTATTTTTGAAAACGCTCGCAGCACTGCGAGTCTCTCATACAGACTGGACCACCTTGAGTGTTATTTTGAGTACCAGTGAGGTTTGATTTGCCAATCACATTTGTGCCGACTGGTTAGTGTAGTATATTGACTGAATTGACTGTGTTTTTATCATACTTTGTTGCTAACGCAGACCAAAAGTAAAACTAGAAACATTAGTTTTCAAGAAATTAAGTGGCACCTTGAAATCAGAATCAAACATAAGTTAAAACATCAAGGATGCTTCTATTTGTATTAATGTAAACTCACAGAAAAGGTGTAATGAAGTCCATTTAAAGGTTTCTAAATCAAAAGGTTGGAAACTTAGGATAACTAAACGTCCAGAGGACATTTGTACTGCGGCCTCGAAGGTTTGCAATCTGTGATTGCCTTTGTATTTTAGCATTAAGTGCTTTTGTCACTTCTTCTCCAGTATAGTCATTTTTCTTTTTCTTTGTACTTTATTCATTGTGTATTGCTTATCACCTGTAGCCGCTTCTATATCTAATATAAGAGGAATCACAGGCATAGTGTGTCAGTTTGGGGGTCTTCGCAAATGAAGTGCAATCAGTTTCTTTGAGCCTGGTATTCTTTCATATTTATTACTTTTTATAATGTTAAGGTACCCCAGACAACTCGTATGCAGTATAGCAACATACCAGCAATAAACACATTGTTTATATGTATGTGTAAAGATGTAATATGACGGCAGACTCATTTTTAAAAAGTCACACACAAAAGATAATCTTGCAAATGATACCAATGACCATTTCCACTGTTCTGGAAAAAAAACACACCACCATGTTGTTACTAGCAGTAGTAAATTGGAGAAATCAATCAAATGCTGTGTTGTATTTTGGGAATGTTTGAAGAAGAACATGAGGGAACGTTTTAAAACGGTGATGACGTTGCTCTCAGGAGTAACTGACTCCTTCAGAACCTCTCTGCTTCAGGGAACGAGAGATGTAAAACTGAATGAAAGCTTTATTTAGAGGGGAGTGAGAAATGCAATAATGTGCTTCTAGGAGTGAGTGTGCATGTGTGTTTTTACCATTTCATTTATATTGTAGGTTCAATGAATGAAATTCAAATAAAATGGTGTTGTACAATGGTCTTTGAGTTCTTCATTCACTCTTGAGATTTGTGAGCTAAACATGCATGTGTTTTATTCATTAATACCAGGCAAAACTAAATGTTTTGTTTTTGTACGGTATTGTGAATCATAAGCAGTGGTTAAGGTTTAAAATATACATTATACAATGCGTAAAATATATCCATCTTTTTAAAATGGCTTGTAAAGGCTCACTTTTCACCTTGAAAACATCTGTCACAAAAAAAAAAATTTTTTTAACTAAAGTTGCCCAATAACTTCTGGCCCAGACGTCTGTTTTTGTTTTAAGTGCATTGAATGTTACCTTTTGCATTGTTCCTCACACCACTGAGCAGAGTAACTTATTGAGAATGAAGCAATCTTCAACACATTTTATGTGTGAAACATTACTGACATTCTTGTAGCATTTGACCAATCTAATTATCGAAGTATTTATACCAGCATGTTAAGTATCTTTATACAATAGAATATGTTGTTTCCAGTTATACATTTAGTGTACACACAAGCAAATACAAACAAACAAAACAAAAAACCCACTGATCTTCATCCTTTGTGATTTCAGTCATCAAACTGATCAGCATGTTTTCCCCAAAGAAATCCTTCTCCCTCGCTGTCTCATCATTCACTTCCCCTCGGTTTGGACCTACGAGGAAGGAGTCATCTGAGACAGCTTCTCCTACCCCCTCATCTATTTATATCAGCAACTAGGATTGACCATACATGTAAATGTGTGTGAAAGCACATACTTGATACAATTTTACTCATCCATTAATTTATATTCTCAGAATTTCTTACACAAAAAAAACACACATATTCAAATATTCTGTTCTGTGTACACTGTTACTGTTTAACCTACCACATCATCTTCCCTTCAAAGTCAAGAGCAAACATGAGCTGTCCAACTGTATGTTAAATTAATAAAGGATGAATCCTGGTGTGCCATAGAATGCAATGCCGCTTTATGGCAAAGTGTCCTGAACTTGAGATGACAGTGTGTGCATCTTTCAGAGTTATTTAGCATAGGGTGTTTGGTTAAAGTTAACTGGTCTAAGCTGTTGTATGTTCTGATGTATACGGCTGCCCTTGATGTTGATGTATGTGAAAATAATGCTCCGACTCAGCAGTGGTGCTGCTTGCTGCTATGAGTATCCTCATCGGTGGAACCAAAGTTAACTACTATGTTTATAATTCATTATTACTATTATTGACAAGGATTTACATTTTTTATTTTTGCAGTTATTAAAAATGGATAATTATTTAATCAAATTACCAACATAATATATATAGAAGTGTAATTACACATCATTTGACAAGATAATATATCCCATCTTTTCTACCATTTCAAATGCTCATCATTCTCTCTAGCATATAAGAATACTTGAGATGCAGTCAGACATTATCCAATACAATCAGTAGAGCAAAACATAAATCATAATGCATTACAAAAGGTGGATGTGTGTTAGGAGTGAGGTGCAGGATGTGTGACTGTGGTGGATGCTTTGTCAAATTCATATTCCAACAATAAATTAAGCTGCCCAAGAAAAGTGAAGAAAAAGTGTTGAATTGTGTATTGCAAATACCTGAAATATATATTATGTGTATATATATATATCGGTTAAACTGGCACATTTTGACCCTTCATAGAACGCTTTCATAAATTTGGTTCCAATTCACGTCAGCAGATGGCAGTATTGTACGTTTTTCAACAGTACCGCATTACATTACAGAGGGCCGGCCCCCTTCTAGTAGCGTGAACGCTGCCTGTTCCTATCAAACTTCAACAGTGACAAGCATGTCATTGTGTATAAGAGATGTCCCTTCACATCTAATACAAAAGCCACATGTTTCAAAAGTGATTCTGGACAACTAAAAATGTGGGAATTCTCAACACCAAATGTTTGAAGTACATTTCAGCGTTTTTGGTGGTTACTGAACTCAAAATCAGCAACACGTGTTGAGTAAAGAAATACAAGCATAAAGAATGGGTGAAGTTGCATCAGAATTGCACTGAACAATACAGATTTTCTGGCGGTGAAAGTGTTGTGCTTATGAATCTGGGCTGAGATTTGAACCTTGGTCAGGGCAATATATAAAAAATTTCTGAGCAAGATCTTTTCAATAAAGGTTTATATCAACCATTCTGTAGGGCAAAATAAAGGTACACACAAAAGATAAAGAACAACAATATAAATGTTTGTGAGTGTTGGTGGATTTTCCATGTGTTTGTATGGAGATGACTTGCAGAGGCTTTAACAGGCGTTGAGGATTTAGATTGCTCTTTGGCCCTGGGTAAGGGCCCCCTCCACCACTCCTCTAATGGAAGATGATTCAGTCGAACGGACGAGAAGACAGAATCGCAATTACCCAGACTTATTGAACTCACCCCTGACATTTCTTTGGCTTCTGACTGAACTAGCACAGAAGTACAAGAGGACAGGGAAGTGGAGAAGAGATGAAGGAGACTGGGGGGATAAAGAAAGAGAGAGAGAGAGAGAAGATAGAATATGTTAATGACAAAAGAGACCAAGACACTAAGAAAATATAGATTACACAGAGTACACAAGCCCTCTTAAAGGTCTTGCACCTGAAAAGATATAATGCAGCCATATAGAAACATGCACAATTTGACAAAAATGGAATTAAAACACAGACAAAATTAATCGCCGCCTTTTTCAACTAACAAAATTATCTTAAATTGGACTGCCCAGCTGTGAAATAATTTCTGCCTCAGTCAACACTGTCACTGATTCTAGGGATTGACGTGTGCATGTTAAACCACAATGGCAATCTCTCTTCATTCTCTCATTCGGCATCTCTCACTCAGTGTCTCATCACCGTCTCTGAGGGTAGCAATAAAGAATTGAAGAATTAGACCTAATGGGACACAGACCAGCGACGGTGTTACAGGAGGGTGCAAAAAAAAAAAACAGAGCACCATTTCAGTGCAAATTGCTCGCGATGCCATTCAAATGCCAGCCTGGCATTTAAACATGTCTCACCCCTCACAACTGACCAGGACTTCCATTCGCCTCAGTCAGTTTGATTCAGCCCTGCTTGTTCTAATTGGTTTATGGATTTCATGGTTGATCACAAGACAAGAACTCTTATATTAAAGGTGGTGGCAAAGTGCTTTTCAGTAAGGAGGGTCAAGGTCACAGGACTTAACAAGGATTCAATGAAAACAATAATCAACAAGGGTGTAGCTGTCATTATAACAGCATAACCCCACTCCCTTCAGAAAAATATATTTCTGCAATTTATCTCATTGAGGATTCACATCCTAGTCTAACAAATGCCAAATGGGTCTCAAAACAAACAAACAAACAAACAAAAACCCTCGTTGGAAGAAACATACTATTGTGATCTGCGGGTATATGAAGGGAATGAGTGAGGACGAAACAGAGGTTAGGTCAGTAATTTATTACGGGGGCACTTTATATCAACAATGTAATTTAATGAAGATTACAACTGATATACTTCAGGCATTGTACAAATGAAAATCAAACATACTTCCCTCTTGTGTGCAGTGGAATGAATTTCACAGTTCTGCGATGGCTGTAGTCAGAAAAGTAAATATCAGGTGGTGACACATGAAGCGTCTGATCCGCACAAATCCTTTACAGTCAAATGAAATACATGTGGCATTACGGTCTGGGATTAACTGTCCGCTGACTGCCGTTAGGCCTGCCACTATTACAGCCTAATCAAGCACATGAAGACACACTCTAATAGTAGGCCTGTGCTGCAAAACCCTGTTGTTCAGGGTCTAATTGACAATGATAAAAATACAGTAAATAAATAAACAAACAAACAAATAAAAAATAGGACAAGGATCAAATAATTGTTTAAATAACTGCATCTACTGTTATTTCAAAATGATAGGGAACAGATTCCATACTGTACATTTCCAACTATATTCCAGCTTTTCAGAAATCAGCTGCATGTGCTGTTACTCAACCTGTAGAAAGGAATATAAAATAAACGTATTGCCATTTTCCTAAATGTTAGGACTGAAGTAATACAATTTATTTGGTTTTCCTCAAAATACTGCTTTTATCTTCAATTTTATAGTTTGTATTTTTCATTAACAAAAAATGTAAAAAGACATTTAAAGACATTAAACATTTACCTTGAGGTCAGTGGCCTTTGTGTGGCATTCTGTCAGGTTATTTGTAGATAAAGAATGTAATTCGATGCCAGAGTTTTTATATTTAGTCATTTGACCTAAATATTTTGCAGGGACACCTTTCAATATGCGTCTCAGAATTTAGGCCCACTCACTCACTGTCGCTCGTCCCAGGCCAGCCTCTCAAATGCCTGTATAGCCTGGGACACATAGAAAATTATGATTTAACTTCCTCAGCATGAGCTGTTAAAAGTTCACACTCCACTTTTGTGATTATTAAACAATATGTAACCAACAAAAGCCACATTTATGAAAGGCAACAAAGACAAATTCATGTCTAGTGTTTTAATTCCCAAAGAATAGGCTAATTAATCTCAATTATTTAAAAAAATTATAATAAAAAAATAATAATAACTCACCCAAGAGCAGATCTTTATACAAATAACTAGCCCTTAGCAATTAATTTAGTAAGCCTATACCCATCATATTCGGTCACCCATCGTCATTAAAGTCTGACCTTTAATACGTGCAGCAGAAGGAAGGAGAAGCAGGCGGTCTAGACTGGACACAATAGTCAAATAGCGATCACAA